TATTTAGTTTAATAATTTCCATGTCTTCGCTTAACAGTACCAGATCATCCGCATAGCCCAGCACTGGTGTTATCTCACCCAGATCCAACCCTTTTTCGGTATGCATTACCTCCCTAATGGCATGTTCTAAGGCCAAATTGAACAGGAAAGGCGAAAGGAAATTCCCCTGTTTTAAACCCAAACGAACCTCAAACTTTTCGGACATATTATTACTGATTCTAACTTCATTGAGTGTTTCCATTTTGGCCAATAAATCTGTTCATAATTTTCGTTTTATCCTATTTTTTTTTTATTTTCTCAAATATTGAGTCATATTCGTTTTTCCATCTGGACTTCTAATTACTATCGACCTCAGAAATTGTTAAATTAGAATTTGGACTAGAAAAAAAAAATTGAGATATATTCTTTGTTGCATGAAAAATCATCAAGCTACATGAAAAATAAAGAAGTTTTTAAATAAAGGAGGATGATCTGCTTTCTCGAAATTTTGAAAATGCAGCTTTTTTTTTCAGAATCACCTGTATATAATTAGTATAATATTTTTAATTAAGAGTTTTATTAAGCTCACTGTTGATTAACTCAACCATTTTGAGCTTGAGTGAGCCAATATTTTTCAGTCCATCATGGCTGGAAGTATAAGCTTATTCAAGGTGTGAAACTAATTTTGCAAAACAAAATCAACAGTGTTATATTTTTCAATATTTAAATCTTATTCTAACATATTTAATTATCTTATTAAATAAAAAAAAAAAAATTCCCCTGATATAAATTTAAATCTTATTTTAGGAATTACTATTTTGAAAATTTCATACATGTTTATTGTATATTATGCCTTTTTTCTATTTGGTAATTTTTGAAATTTATTACATTTTCCCCCCCCCCTTTTTTTTTTTTTCATTTCCTTAGCATAAATATATTGTTGTCTGTTTTTTAGGATTCCGTAGGCCGGAGACTGAGAATGGAATCTATTGTAATGGGTGTATGTTATCTGTTTCTCTTTCAGTTTCATTAACCTCTTATTCACTCTACTAATGATGTTTGGTAGTTGGAATCAAAATTAATATCTATTCTTTTAATTACTAACTACAGCTTACTGATTATTATTAAAATGCTCATAACCTTTTATTGTCTTTAAGTGAGGATTTCAATTTTTTTCATTATCATTAAAAGTTAAATCTTCCTTCCCTCCTCATTTTGCATTATTGTTTGTATTTACATGTGATAAATTGGAAATAATGTGGTCATAATTTAAAATCTTGACATGGTATTATTTAGAATAAAAATTAATAACAATAATTTACCATAATTAGGTAAATCTATGTAATGCCAATATTTATTTTCATTAAAGCGTATATCAAACATATTGAATATAAATTAGTGATTGAAAATACAAGAGAAACGTTTTTTTGTCTGCTTTAGGAAAATTATCAATTCTTGTCTCTATTACATTAATCTAAAATAAATATGAAATTGTTTAATAAAAAATAATACATGAATTATTGTTTTACATTTTTACATTCTAAATGGTTCTAAACACTATTTCTTTAGTCGAAATTGAGATTTAAGTTTCTTAGGGGCTTTGTTTATATAAAAATATTTTTAAGTTGTTTTAAGCTAGAATGTATTGGATTGGCAAATAAGTCCTTTATATTTTTGTTTATTTTTATGTCACTATGATACACTTCTTATCTGATGAATTAATCTCTAAGGTGGATTGCTTATCCTTTGTAATATGTCAACAACTATATCTGTTAACTCTTGTTGAAACTAGCTTAGTATTGTATTTGTTATTGCACTGTGAATATGGAAGAAAATATCATTCATTATCGCCATATTTTGTTGTATTATTATAAGCAGCACACTATTCAGCTTGCAGAAGCTCATAGAAAAATTTGCAGTGTTTATGGAGATGATACCTTAACCGAACGCACCTGTGAAAATTGGTTTGCCAAATTTCATTCAGGAAATTTTGACATCAATGATGCTCAAATGAAATTGATACGAGCAATGTTGTTAAGGCCATTGTTGATGAAAATCCTACCCAATCAGTGCGAGAGATTGCTATGGCCCTAAATGTGTCACATACAAGCTTAGAAAATAATTTGCACAAGCTCGGCTATGTTTTCAGGCTTAATGTTTGGATCTCTCACATGATTTTTTTTCGAAAATCACAAAAAATGTTATAACTTCAATATGGCTTTATTATCTACAAGAAATTTTGCAGGAATTTAGGGCCACATCAACTACACACAATGACATCAACAGAACCTTCATAGACAAACTACAAATGGAGATAAAAAATAAAAACCTATTAGGAGTTTTTGTTTATTTATTCCTTATGTAGGTATAAAATAAAAAAAAACATTCATACAGCTTTGAAGAGCAATAATTCAGCTTTCCAATGGATATAACAACATCGAATTTGGAGAACATTCTGAAGAGTTATGAATGATCAGAAGGGTGTTATGTTCCACCAAGACAATGCTAGGTCCCACACCTCATTGGTCACTCGCAATAAATTATTGAGCCTTGTATGGGACCTTTTGCCCCACCCTCCCTATTCACTAAAAAGCTCCAAGTGACAAACACTTATTCCGGTCTCTGCAGAATCCCATGAATGGAAAGAAATTCCAAAAGGAAGAGGACATCAAAAACTACTCGGATCAGTTTTTTAACAATAAACTCCATATTTTCTATGAACATGGCATTATGCAGTTAGTGGAAAAATAGCAAGAATCATATTAAATAATGGTCAATATATTGTCGATAATAATAAATTTCATGTCTATAATACATTGAGTTTTATTTCACCCTGAAAAACCGAAAGGACTTATTTGCCAACCCAATAGATTAACCATATCATATTAAAAAACAAACAAATATAATAAAGTTTTACTTTTACATTCTAATAAATGTTCTAAAAAGCTCACATGATTTTCTAAAAACCTTCTTATTTTTGATATAGTTTCTTTTGGATGTTTCTTATTCTATTAATCTAGCATAAATTGACTTATTATTTATGTGAAATTATACCTAAGCCCAAATAATATTTTTGGCCCGGACAGGTATTTGGTCGTCTTGGTTATTGCTCTATTTAAATCACAGCTTCCCATTTTCTGTTGTTCAAGATATAAAGAAATTCCCAGTCTTTGTCAACAAAAACAGGCAAAGTGTTAGTTAATGATTAAATATAATTTTTTTTTTACCATATTTTTATATCTTAGTTGCACTTGATAGAAGGATATCAGTCTAGTAGTCACCATATTTTTTTCTTTCTTTTTTTATGTTTACATCGAGAGACCTAGATAAGGAGATTAGGAGAGACCTCTTAATTAAGAATTGACCTCCTAATTGTGAGGGTACTAATTGGACTTCATTTGGTGATCCTTTTTCATTTTAAACCAAACAATGAAGCCTTATGAAATTAGGATATTCATTTTGCTATGATTTTTGGTCATTTTTATTTTTTAGTCATTTGTTTTTCTACTTCTGTGATTACTATTTCTCATTAATCTTTTATTCTGTGGTACAGACCCCTTTTTATCAAATTATTAACATCCGCCTGAAACTTTGTAAATAGCTTCATCTCATCGAAACCTACAACTATGTTCTTTACTAAAATTTTCTGATTTGGGGCCTTCTCCGTCTGGAGATTGGCAAACTTTCTTTATTTAATTAGGTACTAAAAACTTGTAAATAGTCATTTGATCATAAAATCGAGAAAAAAGATGCCCTAAAAAAATATTGGACCGTTTGGCGTACCTACATGCTCAACATTTCAAAATAACAAGATTGTATTGGCCAAACGGTCCAATATTTTTGCAGGCCACTGTTTTATTGATCAAATTATCTTATGACCCAAGTGGAAAGCAAATGAATATTTTCGATATATTTTTGTGTTTGATACATATTGTTATGTATTTCCTTTTTTTTTTTTAATTTTTATTTATTTATTTTTATACTTTCCTTTGATTCATGCTTTGTTTAATTATTAGATGTTGTTCTATTAAAAATGGCCATTTTATTACTTTCCTTGAGCGTTCCCTACTTTTATTGTTTAATTTAGCAACTTAAAACTTTTTTTAATAATTAATTAATTAAATTGTTAATTGTTGGTTCTTATGAATAATTCACATAGTACATTAGTCTGGGACCAAATGATAATATAATGTACAAATAATAAATGCAATAAGTTTTGAGGAGGGTGGAAGAAAACATTTTTTTTCCGTCGATCACTATGATGATTGAAAATAATAAATTAAAATATGTGTGCAAACCTCAACGGATGTATCTAAGCTGATAATTGTTCGATTTTGATCTTGTTTTTTCTTTTTCTCGTAGAGAATGTATTAGTTAACGACTTTTCCAATTCATAAAGTTTCCTCACCTTTTCAACTATTATTTCCTTCTTTTTCTGGGGGATGTGCTTATTTTTTGGCACTGCCAATGAAGGTAAACTTAAAAATGATGGCTCAATCTTGTGTTTGATGAAGAACTAAGATGAAGGGAGATACGGCATACACTAAGACAAAAATACATCTTTGAGAAATAATATATAAAGATTACAATGCTGTTAATTAATAGAAACATTTGGTGATGGCCTTTCACAATGTTCGTCCCATACTTGTTTGTTTGAACTAACTTTAGAACATTATTGCGATGCATCATTTAAGGAAGGAGATATGGTCAATTTTACATTTTAAGAGAAAAACATCCAAAGTTCATTAGCTCTATTACAGTTGTATTATAAAAATAGAAAATGAAACTGTTTGGTTGTTTAAATGAGAGTATTAGTTTAAACCACCAAACAGAGTTTTTCCTAATATTTTTATTATTGGAATGTAATAGAGCTAATAACTTTAAATGTTTTTCTCAAAACATATAATCCGCCATATTCCATCTTTTAAATGTTTTCATGGCAGAATAGTCTAATGCATTATTTTTGTGTATTTTATTAATTTATCATTTTATATAAGCATTAAAATCAATTATGTTTTTAGTTTCGAACAATGGAAATATATCAACACCACCAGTGCCACCAGCTCCCGCCGGTGGTCACCATCGTACCTCCTCAGCACCGCCTGCGCCACAACCTCCTCCAATGTCTGTAGCACCACCACCTCCTCCTGCACCACCATCGATGGCTCCTCCACCACCACCACCCCCTCCTCAACCAGCCATGTCTCGCTCTTCAAGTACTGATGGCCAAGATACGTCCAGTCTGGCCGCACAACTCCAATCTGCAAGGCTTCGGAGATCGAATAAGGTTAGTTTCTTTATAGATGATACATTTATATAATTATAGGTTGAATTTTTCGTTTTCCTCACGATCTTCCCAGCAAGTTGGAATCTTAGTATCAGAAAGCCAACTCCTTGCATGCAATTATTTTAATTGCACATGATAAAGGCTACTTCAATATTTGTATTTGTATTCCAGAGAGAGGCTGGTTAGTTTTCATTAGATATTTTACATTCGTCATTGATGCAACAACCCACCTACTACAGAGCCTAGGCCTCCTCAAGCTGCCTTAGGCCATTGTTACATCGGATCCGTCACGATACGATACGACGGCTCTACTGTTCAGCTCAAAAACATAATCTATCAATCGCTTTCATTTATCTTTTATTGTTTATCATCCATTTAATTGTATTATATGCATCCAATATACATAAAAAATAATAGTTAATTCCTTTAAGATTGTTTTATAATTCTTAAGTATTAATTACAATATTATTTATTTAATACATAATCCAAAAGTAATTCAAAATACAGTAGAAAATTACAATAATAGCTATTTTCATTTTCATTGTTAGCAATTAATAATTATTATTGTCAATTATATATAGAATACACTTTCTTTATAGGGGAAAATAAGTTGTGACTTTTAATGGTCAATAGTACGCAAAATATGAAAATTAAAAATATTATAAACATTGTTAATTTTATTTATTATATATTTTAAATTTGAAAAATAAAAATAAAATATCTATTTTTTATCTAGCTCATCATCACCTTTATTCTATAATGTAATTAAATATTATTTGGATTCTGCTTATTACTTTAAGTTATATGTAATTATTACATATAATTACTGTGTTATAATTATAACATATATAATTATAACATATGTTTATAATTATATTATAAACATTATAATTATATAATTATGTATGTTATAATTATAACATATATAATTCAATTTAAAAAATTAAAAATCTCATTTTAACAAAAATTATCTAATTTTAAATACAATTTACATTGTATATTTTCATTCATAATAATTATATGTTGTTTCATAATACCAAGATATTATTATCAGATTTGTTAAAAAGGCTAATTCACATCTAGTATATTCAATCTCTATTAATCATAAATAAAATTATTCAAAACATTTTGTAAAATATTTGTTTTTGTCTATTCATTAGTTACAGTTTTCTAAAATTCATATTAATACTACTTTAATTGAATATATTAAATCATTTTGCAGGGATTAATTAAATCCTCACCTTTTGTTAACCAAAGGGTTGTTTTTCTGTTTAATTTAACATCTATGGTTTCGTTTAAGTTATTGTTTATTTATTTGTAAATTTATTTCAGCAATTATAATCATAAATTTTAATTCATACATAACATTGTAAATATCTCATTAAATTATTGATTTTAATTCATGAATATTACTTCATGACTTAAATAAAAAAAGAAAACTTTACCAAATGAATTAAAATATTAATTCATTAATTTATTTTTAATTTTTTCAGCGCTTGTCGATCAATAATGGAAGTATTCAAACCATTCTGTAAAAAAATATATTTTTACCAGGTCATTAATTCCATTTTTCTGAAATTTATATTAAAATTATTCTAATGAAATATATTAAACAAACACCAAGATAGACGGGGTGTGGCTAAATTGGATAGGCAAACCCGCCAAACACGATGTCGTATGACAGTCGTGGCCATTTCAGATTTTTTAAAATGACGGTCCGTAAATATAAGTACTAATTCCATGAAAAATAAAATAAAATTAAAACAGAAAACAAATACAGAAAATTAAAGACAAGACAAGGTATTTGAAATATTAAATAACAAACTTAATTCTCGGAAACTAATGTTAAATGATAATGCAGTAAAAGTATAAGAAAATAGGAATAAATATTGCAAATCAAAGTATATATTATATCAAATAAAACTAAAAATATTTTTTTAAAAATGAACATAAATAATATTAGTTTTGAACTTTATAGCGATATTAATAAACTTAAAGATATAACTAACTAGACAGATAGAATTAAAAAATTATAAAAAAAAGGTTATCTGATAAACAATTATTTATCTGAAAATTTATTCTAATGACTTGACTGTTTTACACTGAATTCCAGTCCTACAACAAGTCGTTATCATTCTGAATTTTCTTCACAACCCTTGAATCTCCTTTATTTATTTATATTTCTTATTTTCTCCCTTCCATCCTTTTGTTAATTCATACCTCCATAGATTTTAATGATTACTTTTTCCTTTTAATCTTTTCTTAAGATTTGTCCGATTATATTCTTGTTTATGTATATTATCCATGCTCTTTATTACATTAAATTTCTTACAGTAACAATAATTCTTATGTACAATTATTGTTAAAAATTTTATCTACTTTATCTTAGTTTGGTTATTTAGTTTTATACTTAAATGCTCTTAATACTTAATTTACTCTGTTTATATATTTTACGTTCTTAATACTTTTTATTTATACTATTTATAATTTTTATCTAAATATCAGTTAACTCCTATAATTTTCTATATCCTTTTGTATCTTGTCCATTCTAGCCCTAATGAGTCTTCATTGTACACAGTTCATACACAGGTCGAAACGTTGGCTAAAATAAAATAGTTTTTTCACTATTCATATATTGTACTATGGTTAACCGTTGAGTATTCAACACTACAAATTTTCATAGTTGCTAACAATAAAGGATAATTATTACAAATAACTTTTTATGTTGGATTGAGTTAATTTTGGATTACCTATTGAATAAATAAAATCTTTATTATTGATTAATTTTAAAAGATTAAAAAGAAGGTTTTAATGAAATTATACTATTAATTATTTTCTATGTACATGGTATATTATTTTATGATGATATATAATTAATGTTTCATATTGAATAATTTTGCTTGATTCTTTGTACGGTCGTTGTACGGTGTATTTAAAAAAAAAAAAAAAAAAAAAAAACTATATAGGAGGTGTCTATATATATTCCACATGAAAGCCCAAAATGATGGCAAACAAGGAAAGCCAGTTGATTTATAATATCTGTTTGTTTACAGTACCACTTCTGCTTATAATAATAAAATATATAGTCAAATAACTAATATTAAAATTACAATTAGAAAACAAAATAAAAAAGATGTTATACGTAAAGTAAAATGTAACCATTGCTTGCATAAATATTAAATATCGAAGAATAGAACAAAATTTAAACAAATAGCCTGAAATAAGTTATAAGTAATCCAAAAAGTTTACACAGCATTCACTAAAAGAAGTGTTAAAAACAACCATAAACCTGATTTTTGTAATAAAAATATTAAATAGTGCAGCAAATAATAGGACTAGAAAGTGATTGAAATTAGCATACATTACCAGGTATGTAAGGCCTATAATTTTAGATGATATATTAAAATGATAGTAATAAGCATAATCCCAATAATATATAAAATATAAGTTTTAGTTTTTCTTTGAAATTTAAAAAAAAAAAAAGGATGAAATTATGAAAAAAAAAAGTATATTGTTGAACATTTTAATGTTCAATTCTATTTACTTAATATAAATTTATTTTTATGATACTGTATTTTTTGTATTGAATTTGAATTAATTTTGGATAATCTATCGTAAATAATATTGAAACTCATATTTATTAATTGGAAAACATGAAAAAACTATTTTGATAAAATTAAACTATTATTTAGTACATTTATTGGGGAAGGTTGAACATGGAATGATGAATGAATTAGAAATAGTATGGGACATGATGCCATGGTAGTTGTATGTTTTTCGGACGGACAGTGAAGAGCCCCTTTTTCATCGTTTTGTACTATTTACCTGCCCAATGTATCCACATCCTTAGCCAGTTGGGCTACAGACGTCCAGTTCCAGGCGTTTCTTGCATCCACTTCCATACTATCCATTCATCTTGTCCTAGGTTATCCCACTCTTCTTGCTTGTTACAACTCTTTTGACATTACTTTCCTTTGGATCCCGGAGTCATTCATCTGAGCCACATGACTGGTCCAGTGTCGTTCCAGTTTATAACTCTTATGATGTTATCGTCTTTTAAGATGTTCTAAAGTGAGGCTCAGATTGCCAATGGTATTGAGGCATTAGACTCTGGGTAGAATAGGTTTAGTTGTATCTCTAGAACATGAAAAATTCAAGAAGAAATATACAGAATGGTTATCTTGAAATGTGATGTATTATTATTTTTTGTAAAATTAATTTACTGTAAACTAGGATTACTTTTTAGGACTAAGCGATTACTATGTACTAAAGTTTATTTTGAATTTAAAATCACCTAGCAGACTGGAAAATTGTTATATCAAGACTAGACGAAAGTTGTCTCAATATAAAAATATTTTAGCCAGCCAGCTTATTTCATATTCAAAATAAACTGTGGTACATTGTAATCCCCTTGTCCCAAGGTAAACCCCGGTTTACGGTAATACATTTCTTTGTAATTTTCAATAACTTATTTATACATGTTGGGTATTTTTTAATTTTTAAAATTTTTTGTTGATTGTTACAGCAATCAGCTGAAAACAGTGGTTCAAGTACTAGCAGTAGCGGTAGCGGCAACTACGGCACACTCGGGAGAGGTGGTGGTGGAATGGCCAGTATGATGGACGAAATGGCTAAAACTCTTGCACGGCGGAGGGCTGCCGCAGAGAGAAAAGAAACAGATCCTATTCCACCTCAGGTAATATTTCATTTTGTTGATTTATATGCTCAAAATGATCATTTTGTTTCAGAAGGGAATTTTTTTCTAGTCTTTTAATTTTTACTAGCACAACTTTATCATTTGATCATTAAGTTGATTTTTTGCTTGTTTTTTTTATTTAACCAGCAAATCTGTCTATATTTAAATCCTTAGTAAAAACCTGACAATATAAATTTTTGTAGACAATTTTTTTGTAATGGTTATGTCCAAGAATGCATTTTTCACCTAGCAGAAGAAAAAAAACAATAAAAAAGTTATAATAGTCATAAAATAAGTACCTTACAGTTAGTCATGAAATAAGTATTTACCTATTAAAGATGTGAAAAAGTTGAATAATTAACCATACTTTATGTTTCTTGATCCACTGAAGTATGATTACATGTTATGTTATTTTTTATATAATTTTAATTTTAGACAGCGGCAAGTTGTTAAAAAATCAAAATGTAGTCAATTGCACAAAAATATTGTAAATTATTATATTTATATACCTTTTATTTTGTTTAGGAGCCCGATTACGGTACTGCTGAAAGGAAGCAGTGGGGAGGAAACAAGGCAGGTGTTGGTAATGGTCTGGAAGCATCCCCCAAACCGGGCAGGAAACAGCTGGCTTCCAGTGAAGAATGTCTCCCTAAAGTCAATGGCGAAACGCTTGGAGACCTTGAAGCCCTCAAACAAGACCTCCTCCGGGAAGTTCGTAGGGAAATTAATAAAGCCAAACTTGAAATTATTGAAGGTAAATCATTTAAAAAATAAAAATTAAATATACTATAGACAAAAGTGGGTCATTCTCAAAATATTTAGTGTTTTATAGTTCCTATAGAAACAATGATGGATTTGTAAATATATCAGAGAAATTTATAACTTTCTACATTAGCTGTAAATGCTGACCAAATCACAAACTTTTTATTACAGATGGTATTAATGCTGGGTTATTATTATTAAATCAAAGGGACTTGTTATCTGTTCACAATATATGTATCAAGTAGCTTACATTTTGGAACTTTTAGTATAGTCTTTTTCAGGCTGATTTCTTTTATGAAAATTCAGATTATTATTAAAATGAATTGTTGAACAATTGTAATGTATTGTTAAGTAAGTTTTTAATCCCTTATACTTAAGGGATTATTATATATTGGTACTGTTAGTGTAAAAGGCCGTCTGTAACAATTTTACATGTTTATTCTGTTTGCCCAAAAGGTGACATTTTGTGGTCTGCAACTGATATAAGCTTCTAAATAGGAAAATAGCAGAGGAAAAAAAAAAATATGAATTATACTAAAAATCATAAAGAAACAATCGGTTTTTATATTCTTTATGCTCTGTTAATAAAAGTCAATTTTTTCATATGATCTTTTGCACTAACTGTAGTGATATACTTAATTAATAAATCTATAATAATAATAATAATGATGCATATTCAATAAGCTAAACAGATTCCATTTGAGTATTTCCTCACTTCTATGAGTGGAAATCAAATCAAATTTTTTAGTGAGGTTGTTTTAACTTAACTATATATATGAAATAAAAAGAAAATTTAGGGTAGATCAACCTAATTTTTGTAAAACATGTGATAATAATAATCAGTTAGTTTTTTTAATACACAATTATACACTAATTATGTACTAATTATATTTATAAACTAACAAGAAAAGTATAGAAATTTAAATTTCCAATTAAGAGATATTAATTTACTAAGATGTATTCATCGTCTTGATCATGTAGCATTTCTTGGGACTTCCTCTCTACTGAAACCAACGTATAACATACAAACTTCTTAGCAAAACAAAGGTTAACGCAATGTAATTCCTTACTCTATCGAATGCATCCACTTGAATAACTGTTTGGCTTTCTCAGTTCAGGAAACGATGCTTTCCTCCAAGCAACACCTAATATGCCAAAATAAATAGTCTTCCCTTTATTTCTTTTTCTCATGTTGTAAACTTTACTTAAATATTTGCACTTTAATAGATATTAAATAATATTTTTAGTTTGTATGTAAATTATTTTCATAGAGCAGTTCCAGTTTTTTTTTAAATATGTTTAAAAAACTTAAAATTTTTTATATTTACACAGTACTTCTTTGACGACACATTTCATTTATTTTAATATTCTCATTTTTATCTTTGAAATATATATATATATATATATATATGTATCTTAGTCTATTCTCCTTAATTAATATAATTAACAAAACTCGACATGTGTTATTTTTATGGCCGGGAAGTTGGTTAGGAATTGCAGACACCTGGAAAAAAATCATGTTCTTTTATGCCAATGTTTTGGTCTAAGTTTTAAGCATTCATTAGGGCTGCTTGTTTTGATATTGTTCAGCAAGATACTAAGTTTGTTAAAATTATTTTTAACTTACTTTAACATCACAATTTTATATATTTAACTAAAAATAATTTTAAAATTTATTAAACTTTATTCTAATCAGTCTCACCTTCTTACTACAAAGTGAATTTGATATTATTAAATTCTAGATATTTTTTTATCTTTACTATAAATTAACTTATGTATATTTAAATATAGTGATATTTTCATTATCCCATTGCTATTTATTTTTCAGCATTTAAGACTGAGCTGAATAGGAGGTAATGGAAGCAAAGAACCAAGTAAGGAAGACAGACTGAATCATTCACTGAAATGTATTTGTTATATAATGCTCACAGTCAGCAAAGCACTATTAACATATTCCTTCTTTTAGGTATATTTTATTGATTAATTTTAATAAAGAAAGTCTCTGACAATTCCAGGGTACTTTTGTGCAACGTTGATTTTTTTTTTAAATTATTGTTTTTAACATTTTTAATTAATTACGCAAAGGTCATTAGTATTACTTTCATTGTTAATGATATCAGAATATAATCAATTTTTCTGAATGTAAGTAAACTAACAGAATTACAAATGGCTTTTCATATCTTGATGTCACTGCCTATTAGTCACATGGCCAATAAATGGACTTTTAACATTGTAATTATACTTTTATACTCTGTAAGTTATATGTTGCTTATAACTTTTTTAAATGTTTATATTGCTGATATTTTTATCTTTTTCTTTCTTCTTCCAGCTTTATTTATACAATTTGATGAGTATATGACTGTAATTAAAAAAAAGAAAAGAAAAAAAGTAGGCCTAATAATTTGGTAGAGCAGTATGTTCGAATCATCGGCATCAAAGTTCATTTGTGATTAAAATTTGTCTGATATATAAGTTAGTGATTTTTATTGATGCGAAAAATATCTTCCTTTTTTTTATACGTTGATTTTTATTACTTGATAATATTGAAAGTAAATATTTATACATTTATAGCGTCTTGATAAGTAACTTATTATAAAACATGTAAATAACAACATAGTATGCTATTATGATATATTTTAGCCGATACAAGTGTTTTAGGTAAGAAGAAATATAAAGATATTGTGTTTGAAGCGAATAATCGCTGCACATTGTTTAATCATATATATATATATATAATACATTCTAATTATTGTTAACAATAACTTATAGCTCAACCTATAAATGTAAACCACTATCTCGAGTGTGTCTCTTATTATGTTGGATACATTCCGGCGAGTATTAGTATATATATATGTGTGTGTGTGTGTGTGTGTGTGTGTATGGTATATTTAATTTATACCGGCATTTACAAAGACTTGTAAGTATAATGATGTTAAGTGATCAAAGTTGTTTTAATCAAAACTGTATTTATTAGTCATTTTCAATATTTGCAAACGTAGTTTATAGCTTATATTTGAAAATTTGGAACTTTCATAAATTTTTTTTACTCCTTTCTCATGGTTTACCAAAATTATTTATATATATTTTTGTTGATAATAAATCGTTTTATGTTACTAGCAATTTACATTATATATTTTATTTGTACAAAATCTTGAGATGTAAACATGCCTGTAAATATGACTTCCATTATTTCTTCACTTTTTAGTGTAACTTGTATGATATTGTATAATGTGAAATATGGTCTTCTCATAAAACCTAAGTATTATAAATCCACTTATAAATATATGCTATTTTTGTGTTAAGTTTGCCGAATGTAAACAATAAAAGGCATCTTGTGAATGTTTTTGAGTTGTTTTTAAATTATGATGCTTAGGTTTTTAATTGTTTTTTTAATTTCATATTTTGTGTGTTTATAAATTTTTGTATACATAATTTTGTATATTTATTAAATCTTTGTTTTTAATGTGAAATGTTCTTGTTTGAATGATTTCTATCTTTTATAACTACTTCTGTTAATTTTTTTTTTTTTACTCATAATAAAAGGCATAAGATCATTTGTTATTCATTATACTACATTTTTTATAGTTCGGAGTTTAAGCTGAATCGAAATTAACAGTAAGTTTTATGTTGGTTTATGAAATTAATAGAAAAGCAAACCTCTTATGTATCATTTTTGGAGCTAATATATTTATTTTATTTACGTTACAAGAAAAATGTTTATATTTGACATAATGGCAGTTTTCAACTTAGATTAAAAATCTTATAAACTTTTTTTTTAGTTAATGGCAACTAGTTTTTGTTTGTTTTATTTTAAAGAAATTTTGATTGATTTTCAGTATATTTAATTTAAAAAGTCAATTTAATTTTGCTGGTTGGTTTCAGCAGTAACTACATAAAGTGAAGTGAACTGCATCATAAGTTGAAATTACATTTTAATCTATAAATGCCATCATTTGCTAATATGCTTTTTTTGTTTTAATATGTATTTTTTTTCTCCCTTAATATGAACCCATCAGTAATTTGAATAAAGCTAATGACAAATTAAAATTCATTCCAACCTCTTTATAATTAACATGACAAATTTGATACCTTTACAGATTGCAAATTTTAATCGATTTAAGGAAATAAAAATGAAATTATATAGTTACAATTTATTTAGTGTAGTATCTTCTATGTTTTGGACAAAGAAACTTCTAATATCTTTCTGAATATAAACTGCTAAGTTGTTTCAAAGAAGCAATTAATTTTATTTAAGTATATAATAGATCATTATATGCTAATTAAAAATTGTTTAGGTTTCACTGTCAGGAATTTGCTGTTTTTTTCTCTTTATGTTGTTGTTATTAATATACACATGTAATTACTAATAATATTAATTGGTTCAATCGTTATAAAGAGCTACTTTGCCATTTATGAAATTCCATTGCATTTTAAAATAATTAAAGAAAATATAGGTCCAAAAAATAGTTATTAAATAATCAATAAAGAAAAAGATTGAAATTAGTAATGTTATGTGTGAAGACTTCAAAGGAATTTTAATTTTTCATTCCTTGATCTTATCGCCTTTTTTTCTATCTTGTACTGTTACGAATATTTTTTTTTTTAAAAGTACTTTTATTTGTGAAGTTAGAAATTTAATTTTTCTATGTTGTTTCGCTCCTAATCAATGTAAAAATTGTACTGAAAAAATCTATTTGTCATCATGTGATTGTTTATAAATTTATTTTTAGTGGCATTTATTATGAGTTCCTGCTAATTATAGAAGACTACTTTTTAGTCTTTATTAGATGTCCTATATGTTAATAATATCAGTGTTGCTTTTGATTAGTCGTATGAGCAGCTGATGATGTAAATATTATTTGCTTTGGTGTTACTTCATTCTGCTTTGTCCTTTGATCTCTTGTGTTATATGTAATGCCAGAAGTTTAATAAATGAGAAATATATTGAAAGAATTACATTTAAATTAATTGATGTTGAACGAAAAAGAAAATCATTTAACCATATTTCCCTGTCATATTACATCCTCAGATTGCATTGGCAGTGCTTTTTTTTTAATTATTCATATTTGGTTTTTCTTAACTCATAAGTTCTGGCACAAAACTTTTCAATAGTAATCAAAAAATTTTTTAAAAATATTTATGTATATTTAAAATTGACATTTCCGAAATGATTTTATTGTCCAATGTATTTCTGAGGAATTGGTAAGGAACATCTTGGATAAAAAAAAATTCGAGATATCTATCCATATTAAGACATATGTTAACCATATAGTGTTATTTATTAAGATCATCTAAGATAATAAGAAACCAAGGGACACGAGAACTTGATTTGTATTGTTTATCTAAATGTGTAAATTTATAAAATAAAATAGTAAAGAATATACATTTTTTTTTTGTCAAATAAATCCCTATTTATAGACAAATAATTAATATTGACATTATTTTGATAATGTATGATAAGAGCCATGGGCATTACTCTCATGGTCCACTTAATCTTTTGCCTATTTCTCAACTCTTGATACTAAGTCAGCCCTTTATTTGAAAGAAAAGGTTATTAAAATATAAGCAAGGACATAGATTTGATTATATTAATATTGAATATGTTGAGGGTGTATCAAGATCATCATACCATAGGCTTGGAGGTGATTCCATACTTCATTTCCATCAAGAAAGTTCATTTTAAATAAGCCACCTTTTTTTATTGAATAGGAAATTATTACGAAAAAATCTGGTATGCGCATCACACAACTTTCATTTACCACCCTCTTAGCAGAAATAAGTATTTTCAGACAAATGGGAAATGAAAGTAAAAATTATAGACACTTTATTTATTTACATTTATTTGTGGGGATTTTTGTTTGTTGAATTACTCTTATGTATACAAATTTTAATTTTTATATGGCTGAATCTATACAATTGAATATTAAATAATACCAACGTAGCATTAATGAAATCTGCATAAGTATATCTACAAAATATTGTCGGAGTTTGTATTATATTAAGCTCTTGTTGTGTATGGATGCCTGTTCTAATCTTTCTGGTGTGCTCCTATTCCTTTGGTGCCTCTAATACAACTATTTTTTGTTACAATCTCTTATTTCTCCTTTAGTTATTTATAAAATTCTTTCATGCTTTATATTTAACTATTTTTTGTATCAGAGATAATGTGAAATGGTTAATTATTTCAAATAAAAAAATTTAAGGTACTTTAGAGGTTGAAATATTAAAAATTAGCTATTTAAGCCCAGTTAAAAACATCAGTGAGAATAACATCTCCATTATATTAAAAACTGCTTAATTTTACATTGTTATAATGAATTTAACCAAAATCGTTATAGGTGTTTTCGAGAAAAACGTGCGAAAACGATTATATAAAGTGCAACTTCCGGTAAGCCGATTTTGACAAAAAAGTTAGTGTAACATCCCAATATATATATAAAAAAAAAACCTGTACCACTACAACTCATGAAGAGTTGGGTGCAGTACTGTGTGAGGAAGTACTGTTTCAAGGCCAACGGTTGTGCAGGGAGGTGATGGGCCAATATCACGCCCAACCACCAGATTTTCCCCCTTAATTATTTTTTAAATTAAGGGTACCCCCTTTATAGAGGCTGGGTATGCGTATGCCCCAGGAGGGTCTCCCAATCCCAGGGTCGATCCATGGCTTATGAAAAATTACTAGTCATTAGACGGATTCGAACTAAGGACCTTGAGCTCTGGAAGTCAGTGCTCACCCACTGAGCTACCCCGATCCATCCGAGTATATACAATCCTTAAATATTCAATTTTACTTCCATCGGACTTTTCTTTTTTGAGCTAGACTGCTCACATACACCCGCACACAGACCATTTAATGGGACTTGCTTATTTGAAATCAGGATACCTCAAAACATGGATTTCCGTTGAAAACTCAGATTCGAGAATATTCACGATCGCCATATTTACTCTTATTTATATTTCTTACATAGGTTGAGTGAAAGTAAAAACTATGCTATAATGGTGTAAACTAATTACCAATTGCAACATCATAAACTAGACATTTTCTTCTAATACAAGTTGAATTTGTCTTAGTTAAAATCATATCAAGGGATCTTTTAAGTGGCTAAACTACATACAATAAATACAATACAAGTTCTGTATTTCAGAAAATCATGAATTTTTTCTAATTTTCTTTTATCAGCCTCTTACTGGACTAGATTGTTTAATATGCCATAAGTCAGTCCTTAGTAATTAAATTGATATGTTTTACCGAATAAGCTGAAAATAGCTTCAAGTTTTAAAAAAAAAGAAATATGCGATGTAAAATTCTGTTACCACTAAGTAACTCTGTTTCCAGCAAAAATAATTACTATAAATTCTTAAGAGTCATTCATTGTTTTCATATTGTAGTTTGAAGAAAATGTCTAGCTTATGATGCCACAATTGGAAATTACCTAAATTATTTGTTTTGTTTTTTTGTTATAACTTCTTATTGATCAGAAAAATGTGACTTACTTAAAATATACATAACTTATATTTCTTGCTTTTCTGTCTTGAACCAGACCCTAGTCTGAATATATAAAATTACCTTATCTTTATTTTAGTTTCTTTCAAATTGATGTGAAACCATGTATTTTATCAATGCATGATAACCATATAGTATCAAATCTATTGGTTTGATTAAATATATTAAGTATCAAAATTCATGAGAACAAGAATTGACAAGCTTTAATGCTAACTGAATTTTAGCATGATGGCCTGATGATATAACAAGTATTTATTTAAATTTTCAACTTTTGCTTACTACACTTACTCATCAGATATTTAATTTCCTGGCAAGTCTTTGATTTATATGATTAATGCATGACCAAATTGGGGAAGGTTAGACCTATAGTGATAAGTTATTAGAGGTCTATTAGATCAATAAAAAGCAGGTTACTTAGGATTAGCAGCATCATTATATACATACAGTGGCTTGATAGAGACAATGTTCACATACTGAAGTGGTGGCCGGCCATCTTAGTTCGGTGGAGTCCTATATTTGGATATTTTTTTGTTATTTCAATTAGTATTATATAATACAAATAGTATTTATTGCAACAAAATATTAATAGGAAAGCTTGGAAAATTGAATAGGAGTTGGGCTAGTTGAATAAGGCCTATAGTGAATCAAAGAAATATTTTATTTTATTACTTTTCATACATAATTCATTAAACTTTAGCCTATTTTGATTTTCCGTTATTTCATCTTGATCTCCTATTGGGCAATGCCACCAAAAAATTATATAATTATCAAAAAAGTTTAAAGAAAAGTGAGTAACTATAACTCTTATTAGAGAATGTCATTTAGAAACTTTAGGAACTCAATTCAAAGTCAACAACCATGAAAATATTTTTATTTTTCTCCTTAAAATATCTTTTGAAAAAAAGAAAAATTAAAATAATTCAAAATTGAATCATCATTCATTTCTTATTGTTGATAATAAATTTTATTTTTACTTTCACTTACCTATATATGAAATATATAGTAAAGGAAAGTATTGCGATCATGAAAATTTTCGAATCTCAGTTTTCAATGAAAATACATGTTTTGAGGCCCCCTGAGTCGAAATAACCAAGTCTCAAGCAAAATAGTTTGTGTGTGTGTGTGTGTATATGTGTGTGTGTGTTTGTGTGTGTGTATGTTAACAGTCTAGCTCAAAAACGAAAAGTAGTACGAAACTGATATTAAGTATTTAAGGTTTATATATGGGTCAGATGGGAAAGCAACTTTTTCGTTAAAATAGGCTAACCGGAAGTGCCACTTTACATCAACAGTGAAACACATTTTTACAATTTTCTCAAAAACAGCTCTAACGATTTTGATTAAACTTGGTGTATCATTGTATAATTAAGTGGTCTTTAATATCATTTAGGTCTTATCCCCATTGATGTCACTTTACAGGGCTTAAATGCACAATCTCCATACACGTCTTCCTCTAAAGTACCTTTAATATGGTTTATTTTAAAAATTTGATCATTTCACATTATTCATAGTTACGAAAAAATGCTAAATATAACTTTTAAAAGAATTTGATAAGTTAATAAAGGAGAAACAAATAAAAATGCTTATCCAGGTCAAAAATGGATCTTTGGAAATACTGCTCAGAAGGTATGCATATCATATATCGTTGGAAAGCGGAGAATATTCGAAAAAACAACATCTAATATAGAATGTTGTAGAAGATAACGGAGAGTGGCAAACAAATTATAGATAATAATTTTTGAAAACTAATATTATTTAACGTAAATCACATCTTTTCAAGGAAATTAAATGAAATTTACTTACTAAATGTAAACTCTTAAAATATTTTTAAGTTTGAAAAAATATTTAAAATCCACCTAATCAAGGCAATGACATTGTTTAAAAAACTATTTCATTGTACTTGTGTGAAAGAAGAAGTAAAATATAAAATCATTTCATGGATGTATGAAGCATATGTTTATAACCTTAAATACATTTACTGTAATTTAATAATTACTAATAATTCCGATATTATACTTAAATAATTAGGTATCAATGTCCGTTTATCAATGAATCATTGTATCAATGAATAATTTGATGAATCTTCCCTTTGTGATATTCCAACAGTATCCACTACTATTTCATTATACTTGTGTGAAAGAAGAAGTGATTTTTTTAAAACTTATTTATTGAAAAATATTACAATCTGTCTCAACTAAATTTATAATAGTGTTCAGAGATCACATTCACACTCTATGTACAATAAATAAAATAAATTATACAGAAGAATAATATATATACAATAAATAAGAATAAAATAATCTAAAAATAAATAAATAAAAAGAACACATAAATACCTATACACAATATTTACAATCTGGCAAGAGAACTCCAAACCAGACTTGTCCCTCCTACTATGGATGGAAAAGCATGACTCCAGGAGATCCCTGCATTTCTCTCTCAACCGCGTCACTGGGGCTAAACCCAGTGGAGATTGAGCAAGAGTGCTTTAGCCACATATACTCAAGTTGTGAGTGGAGAATCTGGCCGTTGCCAGAACTCCAATATTTACAAACTATAAAAGGTAGCGGGGCCACTGCCATATTAACCTTCTTGGAGGATTATAGGGATGTTTGGTGCTGGATAGGGATTGTGCAAATGGATTTGGATGATGGGCAAGGTTCTGGTGAAATTTGGAGAATTTTGCTGGGATAAATGGGATATTAAGGTCATGGTGTAGGGTTTTATTGGTTACATAGAAAGGAGCATCGACTATTGTTCGAAGGACTTTGGATTGGAAGGATTGGATGCGTTTGATGTTAGAAAATTTTGCTGTTCCCCACAGTTCAAGTCAGTATGTCCAAGTAGGTTTCAGTATTGTCTTGTAGACAAGTATTTTAT